CTGCTCTTTGAACTTGAAGCATAGGTCGAAAACACCCCTTTTTCCGTCGGTGGATCTGGTGCAGCAGATAACTGAGTATTGAAGCTTTGGTCAATTATCTTTGCCGCATTGGCAGACCTGGAAAAGTTTAACTTCCCCTGAGTTATTATTGTTGTACCAGTAGAATAAACCATTGAGATTTTTATGTTTGAGAAAGAACCATGGTTTTATAAGTTTATATGTTTGACTAACTAATAGATTTGTTTCAATTTTGTATTCTGTTAAGTGCTCTATGATTATGTGACTAATAATGCATAAAAAAGTTTATTGTTTTATACTTGTAGTGGTATTGTTCAAATTGGGTAACATATTGAAATTTATATGGATTGGATATACAGAGAGCAAATGCTGAAGGAATTCGGAAATGGCTAACATATGATGAGATCAGCAAGACTTACGAGTAAGTGAAGGGAACAGGAGCAACCAGTGCGTGACCATTGAAGGAAGGTCGAAACCTTCTCCTTCAAGCCTGGAAACTATGTTGGTGATTTTCCTTCGTTGGCAAAAATTGGTGAAACCCTCTCAGCAGACGGACGGACAGACGGCGTTTAATTGAGATGTGTGTGGATGGCCAAAAGTTATCTAAATAAGCAAATCATGTGTTAATTTGGTCCACTTAAAAGTTTAAGTGTCTAATTTGAGATTCGTAAATAACCTTAGTGTCTTTTTTGAGCTTTATCCCTTTCTCAAACCATGAATGAATATTGGGTAGAGAGGCATGTAATGGAATTTATGTCAAAAATGAAATATGATGTACCCAACATCTACTCCTTATGTCCTAAATTGTAAGATAGACATTTTATTCGTAAAATATCAATATATCTATGATATGAGATAGGAGTACATAGACAAATTTTTTTTAGGATGTATATATATATATATATGCGAAAAATATTTGTCGCCCCCTCAAAAAATAATTTTTGCCCCCGAACAAATATTTTGAACCCCCAAGATCGATTTCCTAGGTCAACCCCTGGGAGTACATAAATTGCTAACCAAAGCGTGGATTATGTCCTTCACTCATTATGTGCTTACACTAAATTTATGTTCCTTATATCAATTCCTTACGAAGGAGTGTAGGAAGATAATGTTGCATAAGGCCATCTCCAAGAGACCACCAAATCACACACCATTTTGGTGTATTTGCCAAAAATCCTCTCCAACAATCACACCATTCTCCACACCATCACACCATTTTGGTGGAGAGGAGATGGCTTCACGCCATATATGGCGTACACCATTCTCAACACCATCCACCTTTTTTAATTTATTTTCCTTTTAAATGTTACCTTCAACTTTTAATTATTATAGTTTTGACCCATTTTTAAAACAATAAATTAGGATGTTTTACTTGGACTGAAATTGGTTTGTCCGCTCTGGTCTGGTCTGGTCTGATTTGATCTGGTCTGATCTGAAATGATGTGGTCTGGTTTGATTTCTTTGCATTTTTATAACTACCCAAGTGTGGTCTAATCAGGTCTGATCTGATCCCGAGACAAATTACAGTCCAAGTAAAAACATCCTTATAGAACAGGGCTAATGTATAAATATATGATAGTTAGATACTTAAATAGAAGAATGGTAAAAAGTTAGTAAAAAGAATAAAAAGAGAATATTCCTTTTTGGTGATGAAAATGGTGTAAACTGTTGGAGATAAAATACTGTTTGATATGATGTTTACACCATTTTAGTGTAAAAAATGGTGTTAACTGTTGGAGATGGCCTAAGAAAAGAAGAATTGCAACCAAATTGTAATCATATTAGTAAAAGGGTTATAGTCTCTGAAGTATTTCACACAGTTTTATTATAAATAATAATGCAAATCCTCTACGATAATGAAAAAAAAAAACATTTGTGTTCATATGGTGTATAATTTTTTACAATAAGTATTTTATGCTAAATTGGATTCCTGCAAATATAAAGTCTGGGATCAATATTGTATTCTTTGCGTTTCATATAAGAAATTGCCCTGTATGAGACTAAAACATAGATAAAAAGACAAAATAGGAGTCAACATGTTTTATTCCCGACATAGGAATCTGCTTCTATATATATTGAGTTTTCGCCGTTTCTGTAAAGTCCATAAAGCCCATTCCTCATCGCTCTCTCCTGCTCATAATCATCATCTCTGGCTTTGACATCTTCTTCTCCAGTGATGCCTAGAATTCCCAGGTAGTTCTCTATTGTCCTTTAGTTCTCTCTTGATTCATGTGCAGGGGCGGACGTACACTATTCTTAGGCAGGGCCGTCTAATGAATTTGGAACCCTGGTTCAAAATTTAAAATTGGGCCCCACATTAATATAAAAAATATAAAAAAAATCTTAATTCAAATACTTATACTCAAATCAATTGAATACTGATTAAAAGAGAACTAAAAGAGTAAAAGGACCAACGAGAAAAATGATGGATCTATATTTTTCTTCTTTACTAGCTAACTGTATTTTAGTGATTAGTATTAATATGTAATATTACTATATAATACTAATAATTTTTTAAAAATTTGGGGCCCCATAAAATCGGGGGCCCTGTTCTGGATAACCTATTGAACCTCCTAAAAAACGACCCTGTTCTTAGGGTAAGCCCAGGCTTCACCTCAAGAATTGTTATTAGCCTAAGTGGTAGCAAGGGTAAAAATAATGTTCTTCTTGGGCTTCAGGTGCGGAGTTCGTATCTCACCCGTGCTACATGCATGTGACTTTCATTTTTTGAAGTGCTGCACAATGTGGTGATAATGTGATATAGCCATACGAGTCTCTTATTAATGTGGAGTAGCTTAATTGGCAACCTCAAAAGTGACGTAAAGAGCAGCTGAGAGCTGAGACTTCCAATGACTTCATATCGACAAGTGTAATTTTATTTTTTTTGCTCTTATCAACTCGATAAATATCGACAATAAAATATAATAATATAATGTTATACACTTACGTGTGAAATATTATCCTTTGATTCAGCTAAAATTATGTTGTGAATTTGTTATTAGGAAGGAAAATAGCAACAACAAAAAATTACGAGTTTACAGTTTTTTTTTCAGCTAGTATATTGTACTTGTATAATACGTAGTACTCCGTACTATATATTGATATTGTAAAACTTAATTTTTTATTTTACAATTTACATTACAATTTGTATTGTAATTTTCATATTTATATGATGCTTTAGTTCTCAAAATTTGATAGATACAATCTCAATCTCCATGTACAACTTTGTGATTGTTATAAAATAAAGTGGTGTTGCAATTAATAATGAAGTTAGCGACTTTCATCCAAGCAATCTCAGGTTGAGGTCTATGTAGTTGATTTACGGACAATAATGCATATAGCTTGTGTTATCGTATGTGCATACACTGACCCCCGATGCCTAGATCCGCCACTGTTCATGTGCGTTTTATTTGTTTTTTAGATAAGGGTCAGATAGAGTCTCGAACTTGAAAAAAAATGTCAAATAAGACCATATTTAGGATGCTCTGTCCGGCCGACGCCATTTGGGGTGGTTTCCGATAGAATTTTTTGATGAAATTTTTTGAGAATCTTATTCATTAAGTCTAGTTTACTAATATCAAATTTGAACTAAAACTTTAATCGGGAAGACATTCAAATGAATTCTTGAAAATAACTGTAGCGTTAAAAGCGCAGTTATCTTCATGAATTCATTTGAATGTTTTCCCGATTGAATTGTTAGTTCAAATTTGATATGAGTAAACTAGACTTAATGAATAAGATTCTCAAAAAATTTCATCAAAAAATTCCACTAGGAACCACCCCAAATGGCGTCGGCCGGACATAACATCCTAAATATGGCCTTATTTGACATTTTTTTTCAAGTTCGAGGCCCTATCTGACCCTTGTCCCTTTGTTTTTTTATCGGAAATTTCACCCTCTTTTCCCTTCTTCCTCTTCAGATTTAATGAGAAACATCCTTGCCTCTCCCCCATCTTTCAAATTGTAATATGGCGGTGCCTATATTTTTTTTAAATATCCTGTTTTTTTCATAATGTCATTAAAGATGATGAATCTATAGATGTAAAAAACATGACAGTCTGTCCTTTCACTCCTTTTTTAAATGTCATTCGTATTATGAAAACATCAAATTCTTACTCTTTTTTTGTTTTGAAAATATAATGAAGAGGTAAAGAAAAACTCCCAACTTGATAAATGTAATGTCATGATAGTGACATTATTTTCACATTAGTATCCAATAAAACAGCTATTTTATCATTTTCATATTCAAAAGATGAGAAAATAATATGAATATTTAAAAAAAAAAAATAATAAAAAAATTAAATCCAAAAGAAAAATAAAACGGATGAACGGTGGAAGAAGAGAAAAGAAGAGCTTGAGAAGAAGAAAACAGATGAACGTGAGGAGGGGTCATTCATTGTATCCCGTGAACACTCATCTATAGTAGCTGACTAGCCGACATTAACGGTAGGGTTAGCAGCTCGCGAATTGAGGAAGAGAGACTTTGCAGGGTAATTTTGGCATTCTGACCCAATTTTAATCCTATCGTAGTCCTATAGTGGGAAATATTCTCTTTTATATATTTTAAGTTTGTTTGAATATGTAAAAAGTAATAGGAAAATTGACAATATTACTTATGTTCATTTTCGACTTCTTAGGATGTTTTTACCAAGCATATAACACCCTCAAACCAAAATATACCAGACTTAAACAGATTGTGTCATATCAAATTAAATTTTGACTGTTATAAAATACACATGGATCATTCATTTGTGAGATCATACTAAACTTAAACAGATCAGACCAGATTAAATCAAACCAGATCATATAATTTCACATCAATTTACAAACATCTTTAGTCCGTTCCTCCATATTTGCCGGACAATAGGCTTAAGTTAGGCTTAAATAGATAAATTGGGCCACCCGTTCCTGTACGGCTGTACCCTGTACTAGACAGGTTTGACAACGGCTAGTAAGCTTTCAAAGTTTCTCTATTTAGTTCACCGCAAGTTTACTGTGTCCGGCCAAACAAGTTTTACTAGTCGTTTACTGGTAGATGCCTTATTAGTTCCCTTCTTACACTCTTTCAACTAGTCTAACTGCTCATTTTTGCTTTTTCACCCGGCCTCGATTATTACCTGGATTAAAATCATCGGTACTGTTCACGTGCCAAAAAATCTGCTATTTATTTAATCTTAAATTATTAAGCTCGGATTTCTTTTTTTTTCTTCTTAGATTTGTCTTCATTTCGTAATTGGTACTCCCGAATCTATCAATGGATTTTTTCACTGACTGGAGTTTCTTATGGATAGTAGGTTAGGAATCAGGGTTTTAAGAATTTATGTTTTGGGGATACATATGGATTTATATTTTATATCACAATTTTTTCGTGGGGGCCTAAATCCCTCCAGCCTCCCCTGTCTCCAGCCCTGTTTTGGGGGCTTCTATACATTGCTCTAAGTTTTTCCATTAGGAATACTGTTCAGTGTTCATTTCAGCTTTTAAATTTAGTTGTTTTCAGGTTTCTTCTCCTCTTTTAATCTCTGTTCTGGAAAATCAGGTACACTGGTACTGTTTGCTGCTGGTCATCTTTTCTGGGCGTGTATCTTACTTCCGTAGCTGATACCTCCAATGCGCGAAAGAACTTGGGTAGATAGACCCCTAATGCCACTCTATAATCTTCTTTAGATGCTATTTTTTGTTGCAGGCGTTAATAAGGATTGTGCCTTTTATGTCTCTTGTTATGCAGCCGAAGTGCTCAACGAAATTAAGCGAAAAGATGCAGCTAAACCAAAGAAATCCCGAAGAGATTTGTATAAAGACAACAGGTCGCCTTCAAAGGGGCTTAAGCTAAGGTATATCCCACCCGAAGGAGATGTGGTTGACTTGCGTGAATCGGACCTAGATGACCTTGTCTCGCTTTGGGGTTATTGCTTGGTTGGCCACATTACTGGTATATACCCTGGTCGTAAGGCGCTGAACCGCCTCATCAGGTCGTGGGGCGTTGGGTGTAAGTTGATACCTCGTGATAATGAATGGGTTCTTATCCGGTTCAAGAATGAAGAAGATAGGACTAAAGTGCTGATGGAAGTGCCTTATGAACCATTCGGTGAAACTCTCACGCTGAAGGTACTTGCTGAAGACTTTAACTTTGATGAAGAGGACTTCAATGAGGGATAGAGTGGCTACTGGCTTGAGTTAGAGTTGGGGAGGATCTGTGCTATTGTTCTTGTTTGTGTACTTTTGATTTCCTATGAGGAGATAGGTGGTTTGCCTTTTCTACCTCAGCTTGTGCTCTAGAAGTTTTTGGTTCTAAACTTGATTCGAAAGTGGTTTTCTTATATCAACCAAAACATGGTATGTGCATTATCATATTCCACTAAACTTGATACCATGTCATTAAAACAAGCACATATGTTTCCCTCACAAAACAAAAACAGCACTTGTTAAAAAGAGTATTAATGTATTATGGCTATGTAGTTCCTAAATCATAAAATAAACATTATTTAGGTCTACATTAAGCATAAAATATTCCTAAATGATACTCCATATAATCAACATCGTAATTGGGAATAGCAGAATATTCTTAATTGCAAATTGGGATGAAATATTGGGTTTCTCTGAAATATTACTTCATAGAAAATTCTCCTTTACAATTGTTCTCTAAATGTCTGGCCCATTCTCTGTGTATGAAAATAAATAAGCAGAAAAAAAAAACATGCAAGTTCCGCTCAAAGCAAAAGAGGGTTAGCTTTACGAGGTAGGAGTAGGTATCAATGTGTCATACCTTAAGACTTAACAGTTTACTAAATAGATCATAGCTCAAGCATACAATAAGAAGATAATGGATTATGGTCAAGCATAAATGTGATATCAGGATTCAAGAGAAAGCAAAAGTAATTATTTTTGACTTTTCTTATTATTTAATTATTCTTTTACAAAAATATTTGACTTTTCTTAGGGTTGGTTTTCAACTGTTTCTAAAAAAACACTTCTCAACTTTTGACTTTAAAAAAGCACTTATTTTCCCAAACACTACAACTTTTATTTTTCTCGGCTTCTGCGTCAAAAGTGCTTTTACTTTTTCTATTACACAAGGACAGCCGAAGGTCGCAGTTGGAGAAATGAAATTCAGCATTCCTCATTAAACATTTTTATATTTCGTCATATTCTTTAGATGATTCCACTGGTTTTAGATTAAGACATTATAATTGTGTTGTTGCTTATACTCCTATCAAATGACAGGTGATGGAATTTTTTCCAATAATGGTTACATGCATCCAATTACACTTTGATAAATGCTCTCCCCTTGGTCTCATTACATAAGTCGTGATTTATAACCCGTTTTTGTCCTAAAAAAGAATCATATTCCAACAAAAAGCATGAAATTTTATGCAAGTTTCCCTAAAAAAGTTATAATGTATGTAAGATTGATACTACGTATTTGATAAGTTTTTGTGCCTTGATGAGACAAAACACTTTTTAGGAAGTACATGTGGAGCAATATTTAGAGACGTCACGCTGCATCCAAATGTGCAAAGAAATGGGCGTGTACACAAACAAAGAAGGGCATACACATTTTTGTTTATTGGATGCACAAGAGTTGAGAAACTTGAATAGTGAACGTTATATAGGTTAATCAAATGAAGTTGTTAGTCTAAGCTCATTATGATAATGAAAAAAGTTGCTTGTATACATAATTTGTACACATTTCTTATGCACCCCTTAATTGTCTATACACAAGCCGCTCGTTCAGCTCCCTGTGTACACAAAGTAGGAGTGGAGTATCAACTATCAAGTATGTACAAGAAGTGTACGTAGTATATCAATTTGAAGATACGTTTTTTCTATTGAAATTTGACAAGAACTCGTTGTTAGTTTGAGACTTTGAGACAATGAAGATAAGAAGAAAAACACATTCGAAAAATGAAAAATTACCTAATTTCTTTTCTTATTTGTTAACCATTTACTCCCGTATTTCCTTAACATCCACAAACTTGATGGGTGGTTGGGTGGCACTTGCAATAATCCAATTTTGAAAAAAACCTTTCAAATTTCACACAATTAATACGCTCACCCAGATTAACCTTCATCCAAATTTTACTTGTGTTAACTAGGCATGGAGCTAGAGCTGTCAAACGGGTCAACCCAACCCGACCCGTGACGGGTTATGTTTCATGTGGGTTGGGTCGGGCCAACCCATTTAGTGACAGGCCAACATTTTTACAACACTAACCCGACCCACCTAACCCGTGGGTTAAACAAGTTGGCCCGCGGGCCAATGTAAAAAAAAATATGACAAAAGATTTTTTAAAAATAATTACCTTGGAGTGTATATTTATATTAGTAAGTAGTAATAAGGGAAATATAAGAAATCAAAATATTAAGAACTCAATACTTGTTAAGTTTAATTACAAAATATTAAATACTAGTTATACAAAAATTTGAATACTATAAGAGGGTATGGTATGTAATAAAAATACTCATTGTATAAAAGTAAACATCTATTTAAATCTTTTGATTGATTATTTGTAAATCATGATTAGTAATTGCTAACTATTGTATCTAACTTCACATAAAATATATGTTTCAACATTTTATTTGAATATTTATTATAGAAAAATAATTATTTTGCAATTGTTGTAATTTTTTTAATTGTGAATATTAGGGGTGGACTCAACCGGGCCGGGCCGGGCCGGAACCGGGCCGGGGCCGGAACCAGGCCGGGCCGGGCCGGAACCGGGCCGGGGCCGCCGGGCCACTGTGCGGGCCCGGCCCGGCCCAGGTACCGAAAAACCGGTTTGGGCTTTGACCCGGCCTGGGGGAGGAGGGCGGTTCGGGTACGGTTCATCAAAAAGGCGGCCCGGCCCGGCCGGTTCGGGCCCGGTCCAGGCCTAACGGATAGTTTTAAAAAAAAATTGCTATTGGTTTTGATAATGCTACTTTTTTTCTCTCCTCTTCCTCTAATACCAGCTTCGAACTCCTGACATCATGGATAGGAGTATCTCAACAAACCATAATGCTACTAATAATACTGCGGCTATTCCTAGATTGCGTGAATTGTGTGGTTCATCTTCTTTGATGGGTAGGTTTTTTCATCAGCGTTGTGCATGTCATATTTTAAATTTATGTGTAAAGGACGGGCTAGCGGCGTTGGGAGATGCTATGGAGGTGGTGAAGGGGGGAATTAAACTTATTTGGGCTAGTAATCCACTTAAGATGCAATGGAGAAATTATTTGAAAGAAAGACGTGTCAAATATTGTGCTTTTCCTAAAGATTTGTCTATTCGTTGGAATAGTACTTATAACTTAATTAAAGTGCTTATTAGATTTAAAAATCATTTTCCTTCTTTTTTAAAAGAATATGCTAACTATATTATAAACCCGGCCGACATCGACACTTGTGAAAAATTGTGAATGTTTTGGTGTATTTTAATAATGCAACTGAAACTTTTAGTCATGTTTATAAACCTACCGCAAACCAATTTTTTGTTGAAGCTGTTAATCTCGCCGGCGCTTTTTCTGAATTTTCTGATGCCGCTTACGTTAGTTATTTTTGTGACTTCATGAAACAAAAATTTTTAAAATATTATTCTTATATTCCGCATATATATAGTATTGCATTTATTCTTGATCCTCGTTTTAGACTTGCTTCTTTGGAGCAATGTTTAGATTACTATTATGCTTCTTTTTTTGGTCCATTGCCTATGTACGACGACAAGGCCATAGACCCTAAACAACAAGTCCAAGAGGTTAGTAATTTATTATATCAATTATTTAATGAGTTTCATGCACAATATGGTAACGCACCCCCTCCCCCGCCACGAACATCTTCTTCATCTAAAGGAAAATCAATTTTCAAATCTGCATTTGGCAATCTAATGAAAAAAAGTAAATCAACTCTGGTTAATGAACAAAGCTCAATCAACGAGCTTTCTTTGTATCTAACATTTCCTGTTGAGTATGAAGAAGGGGGTGACTTTGACGTTCTTAAGTGGTGGAAGGAAAAAGAGAGAACGTTCCCGATCTTATCAAAGATGGCTAAGCAAGTGCTAGCAATACCGGTATCAACAGTTGCTGTGGAACAAGAGTTTAGTGCGGCCGGCAACGTCCTAACGGATTATAGAACGAGATTAAGCGCAAACTCTCTTGAGACGCTTGTTTGCTTCCACGATTGGTTGAAGGCTAAACGTAAAACTCAAGAAGTTAGCATTGAACCCACCCGCCACTTTATGGAAGAAACAACCGAAGATGGCGGAAATTCCGATTGATTCTTATTTATTATAAAGTGTATTTCATGTTTTAATTTTTGCTCAATTTTCAATTGTACTACATATTTCAAATAAATATATTTTAACTTTGACTTGTCCAATTGTACTACATCTTAATTTAAACCAAAAAAAAAAAAAAAAAAAAGGGCCGGCCCAAACCGGCCCCCTACCCGGCCAGGTAGGCCCGACCCGGACCGGACCCAATATCACCTCGGGCCGGTTCCGGGCCCATGTTTGTTAAAAAAAGGCCCAACCGGGCCCGGAACCGGAACCAGCCCGGGTCCATCACTAATTGTGATTATAATATTTTTGGTACCAGAGTAGTAAAAATACAATATTGAAGATAATAATAGTGGAAACTATGTGTGTATATTGTCCCGCAGGCCAACCCACAACGCATTGGCCCAACCCACTTAGGATGTTTTTACTTGGACTGTAATTTGCCCCAGACCAGACCAGACCAGACCAGTCCAGACCAGTTCAGACCAGACCAGACTTGGATAGTTATAAAAATACAAAGAAACCAGACCTTACCAGACCAGACCAGACCAGTTCAGACCAGACCAGATCAGACCAGACCAGCAAATTACAGTCCAAGTAAAAACATCCTTAAACACAACCCGTTGGGCCAACCCACTTAAACCCGCAACCCATTGGGCCAACCCACTTAAACCCGCGAACTAAATGGGTCGGAAATTCACAACCCTAACCTACCAATAAATGGGTCAGTCCGCGGGTTTCAACCCATTTTGACATGCACCAATTCCGGGCGAAGCTGGGCTCCGACTCTCCGAGCCAGTTGGACCAGGCTTTTTATAATTGGGAGCGGGCCCAAAACCGGCCCGTGATGCCACCGGGTCCGGGCCGGCTCATATATTTTTTTTTGCTTTTCTAATTAACCCCCGACCCCCCCCTCACCCCTCAACCCCCCCCCCCCCCCCCCAACACCCAGCCCAACCCAGGAAAAGAAATTGAAAAAACAAAAAAGAAATCTTGAACCGGGCCCGGCCCGTGCCAAAGGAAGAGTAGGCCCAGAACCACCCCGCTCTAACACCCCGGGCCGGGCCGGGCCAACCGAAACCGGTCCATTACTAGTGTTAACATAAAAAGTGATGATGTTTATGCTTGAACTGTTTTCATTCCCAAAACAGACCAGGTTTAAACAGACTAGACCAAACTTAAACATATCAAACCGGGCCATATTTAAACATACAAAACCAGATCAGATTTAAACCAGAACGGATTTAAGCATCCAAATTAAACTTTGGCAAACATAGAGCTCATGAAGTGATTTGCATAGACGAAAAAAACAAACCTGATGTGCGTTACCATTGAAAGCAAATAATACTGATAAATAACAACAAAAATGAGTGATTGCAGTTTGGACAAGCATACAAAATTGCTGGGAATAACATATAAAGTCAAATTGAAAACTTGGAACCAAACAATAGTTCACATCTCCTGGTCTTAGTAGTATTAGTATCCATGAGAGGCCCAAAGAAGAAATGATTTAGGAGAAGTTGGAACTAGGAGGTGCACCCGCCCCACGGCCGAAACCAGGTCTTCCACTCTACATGTTAAAAACATAAAACTTACTAGTTACAACACATTTTCTTCTTCCATTACAAAATTGGTTCAAGTTATTATTGCTTTATATAACACACACTTCACACCCACTGAGAGACATCACATAAAACTTTGAATAAAGAAAAAGTCTAAATGCAATCATTGGTAATGCAACATTTCACAACCCATGGATGAATATTGGATAGAGAGGCATGTAATGGAATTTATGTCAAAAAATGTAATATGTTGTACTCAACATCTACTCCTTATGTCCTAAAGTGAAAGATAGACTTGTGTTTGACAAAAGTACTGAGATGATAGTTGTGATTGTACCCATCTAGAAGTGTGAAAAGATAGTATAGGCTCACAAATAATGCAAAACGTGAAGTTCATGAAAGTACAAAGTTTTATAGTACTACGTAATATTTAAGTTAGTGTGACATTTAAATAAGCAAAGGTTGATATTTTGGTACAAACAAGAAAAGTGACATATAATGTGAGAAGTGCCCCATGCTCTTATTGAAAACTGTGAAGCGTTGGTTTCCAAACTATTAGGTACTAGTAGATGTCAAGAGTATTACTCCCTCCATCCCGCTAACAATGGGTCAAGAGGGAGTGACGCGCAAATCTATAAAAAGTGGTTTGTGTGGTTGATATTAATTTTGATAAAGTAAGAATAGAGTAAGAATGATTTAGAACCACCCAAACAACTTTACCAAATAAGGTATGAGATAATCTTAGTGGGACAGACCAGAAAGGTAAAATGGGACAGTCTTAGCGGGACGGAGGTACTAGTATACTACTCCGTACAATATATGTTTAAGTCAAGGGCTTTGGGGGCTTTGGGGGCTTTGGGGGCTTTGGGGGCTTTGAGGGGCTTAGTCTATAACTTGTTTATAATAATGAATAAAGGAAGACTATTGGTTTATTATCACCCAATAATGTTAGTCCTATCCCAATATACTCTCAAATACTTCGTACTATTCAAGATATAAACTTGATGATCCAGAACCATCAAAATGTAAACCCTGAAACTGATCCTTATAAAGTATTAAAATTTTATTCTTCTAAACCTCAAGAAAGAATAGCAAGAGAACACAAAACAACCCAGCTTCCAACAAGTAAATCAGGTCAAATGAATTAGAAATTACCCTGAAAGAAGGCTGATAATTGGCAGGAGCTGCTTCACCCTTCTCACCGCCAAACTCCCCAGGAGGACCTCTAGGTGCACCACCTCTATATCCATCCCTGTCGCCAAATCTCCTTTCACCACCTTCACGTGGAGGTCCGCTACATATATTCAATAAATGAAAACATATCATCAACTAAATTAAATAAATAATAAACAAACCAACTACTCAACTGAGCCATTCCAATCATTTCATAAGTAGTCAATATTTACCGAGGGCGGTCTCCAGGTCCGCCTAAAGGCCTGCCAAGTGGCTTGGCGGATTTCTTCAATGTAGCTGGAACAATTTCAGAGGGCAGATTGAGGTATGTCCTTAGAAACTCAATTCCATCGTTAGTAAGATACCAGTAATAGTGCATCCAAGCGAAAGTCTCCCTCACGTACTCCCTCGACTTGAAGCTCTGCATGAGCTTAATTACCTGAAGGTTCGGCACATCGATCAATGGATGCTTCGCCAAGTTGTAGTCTTTTTTCGCATAGCACACTCCCTCTTCACCATCGGAAAAGAATATATTACATACAAAAGAATGATTCGATATAATTACAGATTTAAAATTTGGGTATTGATAGACTGACCTTGGAAGAGGTACTTGCAGATCTCTTTCCGGTTCTTCTCCGATATGATCTGAAATATAACACCTTTTACTCAATACATGCATAAATACGTAACTGCAGGAAATTAAAAGGATGGCTGATCCGGTGAACTAACCATCGCTGCTTTTCGCCGCCGGTCAGAGAAGAGAGAAAAGGTAGCCTCCGCGCGATGAATGTAGCAGCTGAGCCCTCAAAACCCTAACAAACGAAATTTATAGTCAGATCTTTGATTTTTTATTTTGGGCTTTTCGATATCTTTTAAAACCACTTGGCCCCCTCTATTTTGTACTCTCTCCGTCCCATTTTATCTGTCTTACTTTCCTTTTTGAGTTGTCCCAAAATAAGTGTCACATTTCCCTTTTTGGAAAGAAATATGTGGTTCATAACATTTCACTTTACTATACTCAAATCTTAACCACAACTTTTACCTTTTTAACCACTTCATTAAAAATTGTGCCAACAGCAAAGAAGACATAAAATGGGACGGGGGGTAGTATTAGTATGAATTTGTTATAGGTACCCCAAATGTATATCCCATTTATAAAGTTTATATCCCATATAAAAATCCTTTCTTTTTACCATTTTTTTACTCCCCAAAAAAAAATCTCAATCTCACCTTCTCTCCTCTATCCACTCTCACTCTCACGTTTCTGTCAAAATTTGGAGCTCCTTCGATGCAACTACAGTGCATGACATCAACCATCTTCTTCAATGGAGCTCACGGGAATGATATATTTGATTTTACTGATGAGTTGCTTTTGGATGGCTTGAAATGGGGAGGGAGACCATGATGACAAGGTTCATGATGAAGGTGACGGTGGTGACAGAGGTAATATGCCACTCGGGGAAGAAGAGAACGGAGGTCGGAACATTGAAGTCTTGAAAGACTTGAGATGGTCTTTTTTCCTCATTTGTTGGTATTCTTTTCATCCAAACTCCACATGGAAAGGGTTATCTGTCTCACAGACAATTTTGAAGTGCATCGTCTGTCTAGCTGAACATGGTTTCATAGTTGGTAGAGTCTTACATAAGGTGTCTGTCTGGACAGACTAATTTATTTGTTAGAGTACATAGAACAACTTTCTGTATGCACATCTTCTTATTTTAGAAATGTATTTTATACTCCCTCCGTTCCGAAAAGGTTGGCCAAAGTTGAATTTCACGTGGATTAATAAAGTAAAAAGTGTGTGGTTGAAAATTTGTGCAAAGGAGAGAGAATTAATTTTAGCCACATATTCCTTACTTTAAATGGAAATGGCAAATCATTTTGGGACATCCAAAAAAGGAAATTTGGTCAACCTTTTCGGGACGGAGGGAGTAGTACATTTGATGACTTGAGCATATCTTCTTTTCTTGATTTTGTTTTCTTGATTTTTTGGTGTGTTTTCAAAATGAAAAGGGTTGTATACACCGGATTTGAAATTGGTATTTAATTTCCTGTCATCTGCTTTTTAATTGTCTGTTTTTGTTTGAGTTGTCTAAAATGACTTGTTTGTTTATCATGTTGTTGTGAGAAGTGTGTAAGAGTCGTGAAGTTGTCTGTCATTTTAAAAATACATGAATGTAATTCATATTTAGTTGTTTGTCATTTGATTGTGAGTTGTATGTAAGTTGTGGTGTGTATTTTTTGAGATGTAATTAGTTGTCTTCAAAGTTGTCCTTGGAAGTAAATTGGTTAAAGTTTGTGACTCTAAGAAGACTCGTAGGAGTCCGTCTTATGTTAGGGATTTGTGTGTGCGGCTGCCCTACCTACTTCGTGCAAGTGACGTCCAACCATGGGAAGGTGAAGGAGTAGGTGTGCCTCAATAGCGAGCATGGTAGTAAACTCAATATTTTTTTGCACTGCATGTATATTACATGTATGTAATACATATTTATGTATTACATGCATGTTTTTTTAAAATGACAGACAACTTCATGACTCTTACACACTCCTCACAACAACATGCCAGACAAAGTCATTACAAACAACTGTCCCTACGAGTAAAAATGCATGTTTATAATATTTTATTGATTTTACCAAGTTCTAAGTCTAAATATGTATTAGCATTACTGTCAAATGTATAAAAATGCATACTTGGGAATGAAAGCAATTAATGACTCCCGTGTGATCCTTGAGGTGTGGCATCCTTCAGCAAATTAC